CCATGTTGGGCAGGCTGATCTCAAACTCCTGACCTTGGGTGATTTGCCCGCCTCGGCCTCCCAAAGTTCTGGGATTAGAGGTGTGAGCCGCTGTGCCCAGCCCCCTTCCTTCTTCTTAGTCAATCCTCTCCCATCTCTTCTTCCTCTAGTCCCCTCACCTGATGGTCCTGGCACTTCATCATCCACCATCTCCGGAAGGGAGTACCCCGAGGTGCTAGGCTGCGGGCTCTGGTACTCAACCTGGGGATGTGGTTGACAGCTGGCCATGATCTCTCCCAAACTCTGTTCCCTCCCACAGAACCTAGACCCTGTTCTATCCAAAGCCTTCTTCCAGACCCTATAGGACCCAGAAGAGTGTGCTCTCTATTCTCAAGTCTGGGGAGAAGTCAGCAGTGGAGAACAGCTCTGAGAAGTGGCTGTTAACCACCTGAGCTCCTGAGTACCCACGGAATCCCATCCTTCCAATCAGGGAGGCTGGAATCTCTAATGTCATTGGTTGGTCCAACCTGGCAACTAGTTTGAAGAAAAACATGTGTAACTGCCAAGCTGGTCTCCTGTCCTGGAGATCCGGGATGAACGGTGTCTCCTGCCACTGTCCCAACCTCAGACATTGTCCAAAAGCATCTTCAGGGACTCCACATCCCTCTGTCCCCTGTCCCAGCAGAGGCTGTGTCCTCTCCACTCAAAGCTTAAAGTGTGTTGGGGTCTCCTCTGTACATGCCCATTTCAGAGTCCAGTCTGGTGGGAGAGGGAGCAGGGTGGCAAAGAAAAGTAGGGTAAGCACAAATGATGAAACCTTACAAGAGTGAGATTAGGATGTACAAGAGATCCCGGGTACATTGACTTGATGAAAAAGTTACCTCGAAGCACTCAATTTGGCAAAGCTTTTCTGCTGAATGTTTACTGACATACACTGTCCGAGATTCTAGACTGGGGTACATGCATCCTCTGCCCTAAGGCATCTTTGAGTCCAAGAGACATTTTGAGGACTGAAAATCATAGGAAACTGTCCATGAGCTAACATGTATTTCCAACAGTGTCCCCAGTTTCAGGGAGTCCGTGAATCACCTAAAGCCAGTCCCTCCAGTTCAGCTAAGAAACTCTAGTCTATATATCAAGTTTTGTATCATATGTATTGCTCTTAACTCAGAAATTTCCCTACCATTTATG